CTGAATTCTGTCTGCTCCTTAAGGCTCAAGGGAGCTGATTCCTTTTATACGATTAGAAGGAATCACGTGCACTAGCTAGCTAATAAGTTTACTTGTCAAGTTGAGGGTCCCTTGACTGCTAACATGCTAAGCGAAGCATGCTAAGTAGCTCGTGAACTATAATTCACGAGTAAGCTTTTCCAATTACTACTATTACTATTACTATTAGCTAAGGTCGATATGGATATACCGATACCGGCAACTCTCTTTTTAACAAATAGTGCTTTGCTAACTATTATATCGACCGAAAAAAGAAGAAAGATAATCAAATAAAAGAAAAACAATCTTATCTCTTTCTTTTTTATAACGGCTTTTTTACTTATCTATCTACTTGCACTTTTAAGGTATTAGTTAAAACTAGCTTTTGCAAAGAGGTATTAGCCTCGACTTTAGTTATAGCGTTAGCAAGGTTAGATTTTCTTTCGATTTAGCGTACTTTAAATAGCTCTCGCTTTTCGTATGATTCTCGAATAGCTATAATATCGATCATTAAGCGCTTCTCTTTAATAATTCTTAGCTTTATTATACACTCGTAAAGCGAGTAAGAGTTAGTGCACACAATTACAAGGAAATTAAGGATCTTTAGCTGAGCTGTGATTTAAGCAAATGTAGTCGATAAAGCAATAGCTATATCGATACTTAAAGACATAGCGTATAGCTTAAAAGCTAATACTGCTTTTGTTATCTTCTTGCACTTTTGTGACACTTAATATAAGATGTTACTCGTTAGAGTGAACTCGTTCTTTTTTACGTAAGCTTTATTGCTAAAGATAGCTACGAAATCGATTTAAGAGTTAAGGTTAACGTTATTAGCAAACGCTTCGTCTACGAACACAAAGAGCTTCGCGGTCTTTAAGTTTAAAAGCACGTAGTGGATCCTTCGAGTTAAGTAATCGATCAGCTATTAGATCACTTTATTAAAGGCTTTATAATCTTCGTCCTTCGGTTCTTAGTGTTAAACAGCTATCGATAAAGCGCAAAATGCTTTTAAGTAGCAAATGGTAGCTAAATACGCTTTTCGAGCACGTTGTTTTAAGTACTCTTTAGCCCGTGTAGCTGAATCGAGCTTGATTACGGCAAGCCTTTTACTTTGCTTTTTTTAATTAATTAACACTCCGAACCCGTCTTTATTTAAAAATAGCTTGCATTTATTAAAAATCATCGGTTCGGCGTGTATAAGGATTTTTATTTCTTTATTCTTTAGCTTAGATTTGATTAGCTTTTTCTCTTCTCTTGCTTTTATAGCTAGATTAACAACTATAAAAATATCATCCGTTTGTAAAGCAGCTATTCTTAGCTGATCTTTATTAGTTGATACAAAGAAGCAAAAGTTAAAGCTCGATTGCTTTATATTAAAGTTGTTTGTAAAGTGCTCGGAGAAACGCTTATACTAGTGCGTCTTTGCTTCGAGGATGCTGTATAAAAGGCTAGTTATAAAGAACAAAGTATTAGAAGGGAATCGATAAGTGATCTTTTTAAGTAGTCGCACGACGATTATTCGAATGAGCTTTATACTTGACTAAGTATAAGCTTAAATGATATCTTTGCTACAGACTTGACACCCGTAGTCTGTGACGACACGCCAGGTCTCCTGGACGCACCTCACATGCGCCAAGCTACTTCCTTCCTTTTTTCCTTCGTATTCTTCGTATTCTTTCATTCCCCGCTTTTGACTTATGAACTATAGTTCACGAGTCTTTAGCGCTTCTACTTTCGTATATATAGACCTCAGCTACCTTCGACCTTTACACTCGGTAGTTGTTGATTTTAAGTCATTACTTTAAGATTCTTTTAAGCTCTTATATGAACCTCCGCGCTCTCGTAAGTTCTTTTAAGTAATCGCTTAAGGTCGTCACATTATTAATAATTACTTCACTCCGCCGAAAACGGCTTCAATAATATTCTTTTTTTTTAGAATTCTTTAGTAGTTAGACGTTAAAAAACATTCAAACGACTTTAACGGTCACGAGAAGGCTTATTCTAAGTACAACTTAAAGGATAGCACTTATATAACACAGCAACCTTCGCTTCGTAAGCAAAATCCTCCGCACACCTTTTAAAGCTGCTTTAGCAGCTCCCTTCTCTTCTTTTACGGCCCAACTAGCAGTTCTTTCTACTCAAGAAGAAGCTATTAATAAGCAAAACGATAAAGATGATCTTTCGGCTTTTACTAACCCCGAGAAAGCCTTGGCTCAACATCAAGCCTTCTTTTAGTCTTAACGAGAGGCCGCTAAGCTTAAAAAGCTCTTCGCAAATATGAAAACCCGCAACGAAGAGCTCGATAAAAGCGCTAGCGAACAAAAAACCTTCGCCGAAAAGGCTGAAAAAAAGGCTCGTCGAACTCGAAAAGAACTAGACCAGCTTTAAGCGGTCCTGCCAACTACGGAACGCTCGTCAAAGCCTCCTTAAGTTTCCTTCGAAGATAATTCTAAAAGCAAAGAGCTATACAAGCCTTCGGTCTCCTAGGCTACTCCCTTTACTTATAGAACCGCTAACCTTCGCCGCTTTTTCGCCGACGACGATGAACCACTTTCTCCTTACAAGCTAACCAACCTTCGCACTCTAGCTAGGTTCAACACTCTTAAAGCCTCCTCCTTAGCTTCTCAAAGTCGCGCTCGTATCGAGCGGATCCTTAACCTTAAACAGAAGCTCTTAAACGGCGTAAGCTACCGAGCACGTTACTAGCAAGCCCGCGTTCTTAACAACTTAAAAGCTTTCGAAGAATACTTTTTTATAAAACGCTAGCGCAAGAACTACGTCTTTGATTAAACCGAAAGAATAGCTTACTTGTTCTTAACTTTTTTAGTTATAGATCGTAGCAACTTCGTAACCGCTCCGGAGCTCGTCTAGATCGCTTTCGAGTTCTTGAACGACCCCGTTGAAAAAGCTAAAGCGTTAATTGAGTTCGAAAAACTCTATATAAAGCTTAACTAGCAATTCTAAGACTTCTACTTTATTTTCTCGAAGCTTGCCGCTACCGCCGAAATCAAGGACGAGGACCGATTACGTAAGGCTTTGCGTTTTAAGATTATTAAGACGCTGCGCGACCAGCTCCATTTAAAATTTGCTAAGACTACAACTTTCAAAGACTTTTAAACCGCCGTCCAGCAATTAGCTGCTGGCTAATACGCGTCTGCAAAACTTTACGACGCTCTACAAGCTAAGTATAATATCTAATTCGCGAAGAGCTTTTATAATAAAGCTCGTAACGAATCTCGCTCGGCTTAAAGAGCAGCGGTCAAGCAAATCACTTACTACGAGAACCGCTAAAGTAGCTCAACCCCCGTCTCTTTCCTTACCTTTTAGCGCTAAACCTTTAATAGCCCTAGCGCTAGTGCAAATCGATCTAATCGATCTAATAAATTCTCTTTTCCCGGAAACGCCTTTAAGTTAGCGATCAAGACCTTTAGATCGTCCCGCAAAGACCCGAATACGCCGAAGCTCTTTCGCCACTACTCAGTCAACGAAATAGAATACGGCGCTAAACCTGAATACGGCCTTTATTCGAATGACTCGGACGATAAGCCTTACTCCGATGCTTTTGAAGATCACTAAGAGCTTTCTCTTGCTGATTCCGACGCTCTCGATAATAAAGGAAACGTCGAAGCCTAAGCAAAGCCTCCTTCTTAAGCTAGCTTCGAGATATGCGATACTTCGACCTTACGAAGCTCTTTAGTAGTAAAGCTATGACTATACCCGTCACCCTTACTAAGAACGGCCTTTCGTATAAGGTATCTGCTTTACTCGATTCAAGAGCTAATAAGTACGCGCTGATTGACTTAGCGCTATTCAAATCGCTTTTTTTCTTTTTTAAACCTTTAATTCAACTCCTCTCGGCTTTATTCTTTATCAAGTCATACAATAAAGCTCGTAAAGCTACTATCTCACATTTTACACTTCTCAACCTTACGATTAACAAGCGCGTCTAATCTTTTACTCTTTTTCTTATTATTAACCTTAAAAATCATAGCGTGATCTTCGGACGAGCATAGCTAGCCGAGCACTAAATTCTCTTTAACTGCGCTCGCCGCAAGCTTTATTAGCTTCGCTCCAACCTTCCGACCGCTACTTACGCTAAACTTATTCAGATTACACATCTTAATTAGCGTAAAGTAAACGCTCGTTATTAGCACGACGCTAACAAGCGTGATCGAGCCTTAGACCGCCTTTAAAAAGCTTATGACGCTAATTCACTCGTAAACTATAGTTTACGAGCGGATTAAGCAGCAACGATAATCGCAAAATCACTTCTTTCTCTTCGGAATCGTTCTTTTTCCGCTTCTTCTTTTAAGATCGTTAAACCCTTTTCTTTTATTCACCTTTTCGTAAAGCCGTCACTCTTTCGCTTTACGAAAAACACTTTTTTTAAAGACTACGTTAAATCAATGTCTTAAATGAACCGTAAGCTTGTGTCAACCGATATCGCTTTCGTAGAACCTCTTTTACTCGTCAAACGCTTTCGCTAAACATCTAAGCATAAAATCAATAGAAACTTTAAAATCAACGGCGTCTTCGGACACGCTTTTTATATAATCGCTCGCTAAAAAAACGTAGAACTGTTCTTTACGTCTTTTTACGAGCTCGATTGCTTAATCTTCGAGCGTTAAACGATTGCTTTTACTTAAGCTAACTATTAAGCAGCGCTAATACGCTTCACTAACGGCTTTATCTTTGTTATTAACTTTGCAGCGGAACTATTAAAGCTTACTAACGACCTTCTTATCTTTTTCGAATACTCCGATTACGCATACGTGTTCTTTAAAGCCGCTAGCAACGTACTAGCACTATACAAGCCTTACGACTACAAAATCGAGCTTTTCGAAAAAGGAAAGAAAGCGCTTCGATACTTATTATTGTACAAGATGTCGATCCTTGAGCTAGAGCTTATTAAAGCTTACTTTATCGACAATCTTAATAAAGGTTTTATCGAACCTTTAACAGCGCTATTTGCAGCTTTAGTCTTGTTTGCTAAAAAGCAAGACGGTTCTTTCCGCTTTTGTATTGACTTCCGCGCGCTAAATAACTTTACTCGTAAAGATCGATACTTTTTCCTTTTAATCGATAAGACTTTCGCACGTCTCTTAAGAGCTAAAATCTTTACGAAACTCGATATTCGGCAAGCCTTTTATGTCGGTATATCCATATCGACCTTAG